CCATAAGTATTACTGCTCCAGCCATGGGACTTATCTCCCACACTCACTCTGTATGCTGCAGTGTTAAATGGGATCAATGATGAATTTACTATTCATCGAAGGTAAACTGATATGCAGCTAACTGTAACCACACAAGTAATCAAATACTAATCATAAAAAATAAAGAGACAATGGGCCCAAATGTAAGTGAAAATCCCAGCTAGTTAAAAAAACAATATCAGGTTATTACAAAAAAGCTTTGAAGAAATGACTCCTACGTTTTGATCCATTGTGCCTACAACCTGCAGGAAGAATGTCTCAAAGAAAAAAGTAGGAAAATAAATGGGACTTTGGAAAGAACACACAGATGAAGCTCATTTAAAGTTGTTTTATTAATCTTGCTGTACATTTTGACTCTTAATACTGAAGTGCAATAATAGCTGATAAAAATCAAAATTCACTGAAGCAATATGGATAAAACATCTTTATAAAGTTTATTGGTGTAAAACACAGATTCCAATCGAAGCACAAAAACCAAATAAACACCGTGCTCTTGAGGTGAATTAAAGTTTTGGTTTGTTGATGTTGGTCATTAAGGTTGAGTTTGGCTCAGCTCTTCTTACGGTGGAAACTTTGATGGTGGATTTGAAGATTTTCTCGTTCCGCACTTCCACAGCACCTCCAATGTAAACGCCACAATAAGCATTGAGGAAAATGTGGGTCTAACCTAACAGCCATCATCAGTGTGATATTCAGTAATAACTGTATGTTTGTTTGTGTTGTTTAGCCCTGCACAAAACCTGTTTGTGTGTTCGGCAGTTATGGTAGAGATAACTGTAGGGAAACTGTTAAGATGAACAAGAAACCTTTTTTTCAAGGCTTTTAGTAATCAGTCATTTGTACAATAGCAGTCTGAAAGGATGCTGGCATTGATTACTGCAAACAATAAAGTGATGTTTTCTATTGAGAGAGTTAAATCCTGAATTTAAAGATTTTTCTGGCCAAAACTTTTCATTGCCCAAAGTAGCTAGTATATTGTTGGATATCGATGGAATGAAAAGTCTAGACCTGTTTTGCAGATAATTATCAGCATTTCCCGCATGGCAGTGATGAGTTTGATTCCTCGCCAAGAGTTGGACACCTCTCCAATTAAAAAAAATAAGCCAGCAGGAGCTTACTTTCAATATTACCTGAAGTAATCAAAATGCATAGCCTACTATCAATTTCCCCTTCCAAAGAACTCTCAACCATAAAATTAAATTTAGTATAATTAGGACTGCAGCAACGCTGATGGATCCAGAGTGAAACACAGAACCACTAGTTTTTGCCTTGAATTTTGGCAGCCTTTCCAACTATCTGCCCTACTCATGCTTTCCTCTTCTACGTGCACCCTTTATGACCGCGCTCTGCTGACAGCTGTCCCTGTGTCAATATGAATGCCTGTCAGGAGAGATTATACATCACATGAATCGAGGCAGATAATGAGCAAGAGGGAAGGGCACTTTTTAACACCCCCTCGTGTGCAACACATGACACCAGCCAAGCTAATTAAGCAGATGCCATAATGCAGTAATCGGAACRGCGGAAGAGGCTGGAGAATTCACAAACTTGAGTCATAACAGTGCAACATTTGCTGCTCAAGAACTTCTCCACCAACACAACCAGATGGGAATACCAAACTGCAGCAAACGTGTGTGTGTGTGTGTGTGTGTGTGTGTGTGTGTGTGTGTGTGTGTGTGTGTGTG